CTCTCTTTCAGTCTCTCTTTCTGTCTCTCATGGGAGAAATAAATAGAGAAAAAGAAAGAGCTATGGGGCCAGCCCATAGTGTGGTGGTTAAGATAGCTGGATTCCACATGGCCATCCATGAGAAGACTTGAATCAGCAAATTCAGGAAACTAGGTGTATGGAGACCAATCCCTGCAGCTGCACTGACCAGTGGTTTTTGGTTTCCTTTTTTAGAGTAATAAACAGCTATAAAGGAAGAATACAAATTCAACTTGAATAGTCATTGATTATACAAGTAACCCTTTGTATTTAAGTGCTGCAAATGATCCCAAAAACTATCTTCAGGAAATTGCCCTGAAAAATTCACACAGATGAGTATCTGCGATTTATGTAAGTCTGACATGAAAAAACCATGTTACTACTAGTCAACCATCTCAAAGCAACATAGACAGGAAGTCGGAGAGAATGAAACTATATACTCACTATAGTGTGCAGATTCTGAAAATACTTGCTGCTAAGCATGAGTAGGTACATAGGTTTTTATTTATTTTTCAGTAGCCCTATGTACATTCTATCTTCTCTTAGTCTTTCCCGAATCTACAAAGTGTTGAAGGGCATTGGCATTAAGTTTCACACTCTTTGGAAATTATTAACGAACACCTATTTTGTTGACTATGAGAACTTTACTATAAACTTAAGGTAAAGGGTTGGCCCTGTAGCCTAGTGCTAAAGGGAGGTGACTGTAGTTGAAGTCCTTGAAAAGCTTTCCAGGTACATGTGTGTGCCCCAAGTCCCAACAGGGTGGAGAAATAGAGGAAAATGTATTGTGACCTGAACATGCACCATCAGGATGCATTCACTCTTTCTCTCTCTTTCTCTTGTGAGTGTACATGCCCTCTGGCAATTTAAAAAAATGTTTTTTAAAAGACAAGCACAAAAATCTGAGGGATTGCAGAGATAATCTAAACATCTTACTGGTATTATGAATGGCAATAAATAATGATTTGTTAGACTTACCAAGATTGACAAATATTGTGTAAATCTTCAAATTCATTTTTTTTGCTCAAGCAAGAGGTGAAATTTGTCTCACAGTGTAAACCTACTTTTTGATGCACATGTGCCAGAAGACATATGTAAGTATAGCTGCCGTCTTGCTATTCTGCCTTGTCCCAAACTAGAAATGGTAACATTTTGGGACTGTGCACATTGAAGAGTCTGTCTTAGCTTTTGTATCCATGATATTGGTGGCAGTTCAGGGAGTCTGATATAGGGGCTTGCAGATGACAATGTTTGCAGTGCCAAGAAGATAAAATAATAACCTAACAAATAAAGTAGATTAGAGATAAGCAAAAGTTTCTCTCTGAGACAACAAGTGATATTTCACTTTTTTCTTAAATCTTCTCACTAAGAGAGAAAAGGCATTTAGTAGATTGATGAAGAGTAATGACGCTTGGTCTCGGTTTGGGAGGACAGTAGTGAGGACTTAAGGGAATTGAGAGACAGTTGCTGCTTGGCTCCACCCACATGTTGTTGCCTCATAGGGCTGCAGGAAGAAAATTTACAGATGCAGATATTTTTTCCCCCGTAAGAACCTAGAAAACTAGATTTTTAAATGGAAGTTTAATGTGTACATTTTTGCAACTAATTCAAATTTTTTTTTGAAATTTTGTGAGTCAATCCTCACAAGTTTTTGAAAATTTGAGTCAACCCTGACAAAATGAAATACACCTATGGGCTGGATCTGTCTAAAAGGTCAACATTCTATAACTTGTGAATGCTGAGTAAGCTAAAACTAATTAGCTTGCACCATCTTTAATTTGGAGGGAAAAAAATCTAATGCTTGTGGATTATTATTTGTATATCTTTAAATAGGTATTCTCAGATAAATAGGAACATGTAATAAGAGGAAAGCTTCTGAGAACAATATTTATAGTGTTTGAACAGACACTGCACTCAGGTATTTAATTGCTATAGCATTAGAACCAGAGTGCTTGAGTTATTATTTTGGGATTTATAAGCACACTTATGTGAGATATTGCTTAAGCACATGGCATTTGTATAGTCATCTGCAAAGCTTGTTGGAATGATTCAGGTAAGCCCCATATTATAGCAAAGGTATAGAGATTTAGATACATCTAGATGACTTAAGAACTTTTCTAGTTTTCAAAAACTAAATGTGTGGCACTTTGTAGACAGCATACTATTGAAGGAGGGATTCCCATATTCAAAGGCAAAATTCTATTTGGGGTGGAACCAGAATATTTGAAAAAACAGTAACATGTTTACAAAATCTGGACTCTCTTCACATTGCTTCAGGTACATGAGAGGATCTTCAAAAAGTTCATGAAAAAAAAATGTACATTTTAGGCTGACTTAGTGCCACAGCAGTAACTCACAGCCCAAGCAATGTTGGCGCAATGTTGGCTCTGTGTGGAAGGTCACATGTTTGGTCCCCTATACAACCTATACAAGCTGGCGCGCAACACGATCCTGACTGTGGGAGAGGATTATGGCATGAGAACCTTGAGAGCTCCTGTCTCTTCCTCTCTCTCTCAAGAAATAATAGCTGCATATTATGTGGCCAGCAGGTAGCTTGGTGGCTAAGGAACTGGATGGCGTATAGTCAACTGCACAGGTTGAGTCCTGGACTTGATGGCTTGAAAAACACACTGGGTGCATATGCATGTGTGCCCAAAATCCCGAGAGAAGACTAGAGGAGAAGAAATTGCAACGTGACTATCCCCTCTAGGGGATTAATTTCTCACTTGCCCTGTCTCTGTGTCTCTGTCTCTTTTCCATGAATGAATATACCGTATGGTAAAAATCTTTTTTAAAAAAATGCATATTTTCAATGAAAAAAACTGCTCATGGATTTCTAATTTAAACTTGTAATTTAATTCCACTTTCCATTAACTTTTTGAAGTGCCCTCATCCAGTTTGGGTCTTGAGTTTTCCTTGATCTTCATGAATTGTGTTGTCTGAAAAGTCATGATGCATTTTTGCATAAAAAATTATATCATGACTTTTCCAACAACCCAATATTTCAGCATTTTTTTCTCATCATTGATTTTTCTTATAATAGCTTTTTGCTGTTTTCTTCCAAACCAAGTCAGTAGTAATAAGTTAATGAGAGATTCAAACATGTTCCTCTGTGCCTTTTTGTTTTAATAATACAATAAATAATTTGTATTGCATTCTTTAGTGAGGAAGTATGTTTTTACCTAAGTGTTTGGTAAATGCTTTCAGGTTTTATGTGATTAAATAATGAAAGAATGCTAAGCTAATTAATAAATAAATTCTGTGTTTCTCTGACTAGAAATTAGATGCAAGTGTTGAGAAGAAGCCAACTGGATGTGAAATTTTGTGATGAGATAAGATTGGCAAGGGTCTAAAACTGTGTGAACTTACAGACTTGTGAAATCCCCACAAACTACCGCAGAAACTGATGAGGTTCTCATTCTAATTTTAGTACTTGGCTCGGTTTCACTTACTATTTCAACCATTCAACATCCTTATTGTGAATAGCAGATCCATTAGCAAAACTTTTGGTGGAAATGGATTTTTTTTAAAAATATCCACTTCCCAAAACTATTTTAGAGATATTAATAACCTGACATGCATCTTTTTCCATTCCTCAGAAGAATTAATGCAATACCAAAACATGGATCACATTCAAGACTCCTTGGTCACATGAGAGATTTGTGACATTTCTATCTGTATCTATTGAAATCTGCTGGTCTTTAGCCTCTTTAGTCCAGATATGTATCTTTGTATTCCCTTGAGTACTTATGATAAATACTTCCTTAAAAAATTAGATTGTGAGGACCAGCAGTTAGCATAATGGCTATGTTGCTGGACTCCCATGTAGTTGACCACGGTTCGAGTCCCAGACCCGGTGGTTTAAACTCACGCCGGGTGTGTGTGCATGCATGCCTAAGATCCTGAGAGGAAAATGGAGGAGAAGGGATTGCAGCACGGCCATCCCCCCTGGGGGGTGATTTCTCGCTTTCTGTCTCTCTGTTTCTCTCTGTCTTTCTGACGAGCGCATGCACCCTATAGCAAAAACCTCTCAAAAAAAAAAAAAAAAGTTAGATTGTGGGGCCAATAGGCAACATAGTGGTTAGGGTGCTAGATTCTCATGTGGTTGACTGCAGTGTGAGTCCTGGACCCCGCAGCTTAAGACTCACACTAGGCACATGTGTGCATGTGCCCAAAATCCCAAGAGGAGAATGGAGGAAAAGAGATTGCAGTATGGTCACCTACCCTGAAGGGGGGGGGGGCGTGATTTCTTACTTCCTGTCTCTTTGTCTCTCTGGTGAGTGCATGTGTACTAGAGCGAAAATCTCTCTCTCAAAAAAAAAATAAAAATTAGATTGTGGGGGACTGAATGGGTGGCATATTAGCAAAACATGATGCTCTGCAAAGCTGACCCACGTGGAAAGGTTCTGGGCTTACATTTAAAGACCTTCCTGAGAATGCTAGCTACACATGTGCCTGCGATCTGGGTCTGGCTGAGGTTGGGGGTGGATTGCAGTATCAAGATCCTTTGAGGGTGTTGTCTCTCTGTCTCTCTCAATCCTGGAAAAAAATAATAAACTTTAAAAAGTTAGATTGTAGGGCCAGATGGATGTAATGGTAATTAAGGCAGCTGGATCCCACATGGCCAACTGCGTGGTTTGAGTCCCAGGACCCACTGACTTGTGAAACCCACTGAGTGCATGTACTTGTGAGCCCCAAATCTCAAGAATAGAATGGATGCTTTCTCCCTCTCTCTGTCTCTCTCTCTCTCTCTGGCAAGTGCATGTGTCCTCTGGCAAATTAAAACAAAACAAAACAAAGGCACAGCTTGATTCTATTCAGTTGTCAGAAAAGTCATTTTTGCATAGAAAAACATAGAAAAACACATCATGACTTTCCCAACAGCCCAATATAAATCAGAACTTATTTTCACCTCTGTCATGACTCTTCCACCATTTCCTGGATCAAAATCTCTTCATATGTATCTATGCCTCCCTTTCCAGATCTCAAGGCCTCTGAGAATATAATCTTGTATTCCACCATGGTGTCAATCCCAGTGCCTGGCACAGAACTAAGTGTCTACTAAGTAAGTATGTGAGAAAATGACCAGAAGAGGTACTCAGTGCATTTTTATTCTCTTTAACAATCTGTAATACTAAAAATTTGGGACCAACCAGTGATGCAGAGGTTAAGAAGGCTGGATCCCGTGTGGCTGTCTATGCAGTGCAGCTCAAGTCCCAGATCCTGTAGCTTGAAAAACATACCCAGCACGAGGGCGTGCATGCCCCAAATCCTGAGAGAATTAAGGAAAAGGGATTGCAGTGTTACCATCCCCACTGCGGAGTGATTTCTCACTCACTCTCTCTCTCCACCAAGTACATGTGCCCAATAGCAAATTAAAATAATAATAATAATAATAATAATAATAATAATAATGAAATTTTTAAAACTCTGGAAGCACATCTTGAAATTCCACTATAAGCCATGTTCATATAAAAGGAATAAATGTACTTAATAATCGAAAAGCTCTTCAAGGGAAGTATAAGATTAGAGAATAAAATTAGAGATGAAACCAACTCGAAGTTTAAAGACTATCTTGAAGAATAAGATGGCAGAGAAAGATAACCATATAGAGAAATCAGACACATTTCTGGGTTGGACGTTAGAAAAAATACAGTCTGGTTCTTAAGACGCTACTGAGGAGGCTGACAGAACCGTTCAATAACATAAATCCTACAAAGCCTGAAGGAAGTTAGTACATGGAGTGCCAGAGTCTGCCTGGAAAAGTTGAGAAGGAGGAGAATTCTTGAAAAGTGATTATGTGATTGCCAAGTAGACACCCTGAGGGAGGGGGGAACATTCTATTATAAAAGAAACAATGTGTGCAAAGCATGGGGACTATCAGGAAAAAAAAAATTCCCTTTTACAGCAATATAACGTGATATAAGGAGATGAGTAAAGAGGAATGAGAGTGGGAGTGGACAGGGAGTGAGGGCCTATTCATAAGGGCTTTATTGTCATGGAAGGGACTTTACATAAATATGAGAGGATTGGGAACGGTGGAGGAATTTTGAACAAAATTCTATGATCAGTCTGGTAATTTGGAAAGATTGATTTAGTCCTAGTAGAAGGGAGAGAAAACAAAAGGTGAGAGTCAATCTAGAAGCCTGATAAGTAAGCCATCGTAGTGGGTCAAGGGGAATGTACTGATAGCTTAAACTCAGAAGTGATAGTGGAAATGAACAGGAGTGGAGGAATGTGAGAACCAGTTGGGATGTCGATTGTCAGACTTGGATATGGAGGGTTGGTCAAAGAGAGATGCTAGGAAATCTAGGCAGAGTCCCAAGTTTCTGGCCTGGATTTTGAAGAACGGATTGAGCCATAGATCAAGGAATGAGATACAAAAGATTCAGTAGTTTAGGAAAGTGGTAGAGGATATATTCTTTAATTAGTTAAAATATTTTTATTAGGACTAGCAGATGGCATAGTGGTTACATTGCTGGACTCCCACATGTCTCACTGTGGTTTGAGTCCCAAACCCAGGGATTTGAAACTCAAACCAGGTGTGTGTGCACTCATGCCCAAAATCCTAAGAGGAGAATGGAGGAGAAGGGATTGCAGCATGGTCATCCCCCTGTGGGGTGATTTCTTGCTTTCTGTCTGTCTGTCTTTCTGGTGAGCACATGCTGGCCACAGCAAAAAACAAACAAACAAACAAAAAACAAAAACAAAACAACAAAAAAGAAACCGCTCTAAAAAAATCTTTTTTTTCCATTGGGATATAGTTTATATATCCCTAAAATCTACCCTTTTAAAGTGTACAGTGCCTTTTAGTATTTTTGCATGGTCATTCAACAACTATCGAATTTCAGAATGATTTCATACCCCAAAAGAATTCCTGAATCCAATGCAGTCACTCCCTATTCCTGCCTTTCCCCAGCTCTGACAACCACTAATCAACACTTTATGGATTTGCCTATTCTAGATATTTCCAAGAAATGAAATTATAAAAGACATGGCTTTCTTTGTCTACCCTCTTTCACTTAGCATAATATTTTCAAGGTCCATATATATTAAAGTATATAACAGTGCCTCGTTCCTTTTTATGGTTGAATAATATTTTATTATATGGATATACCTCATTTTGTTGATGGGCATTTGGGTTGTTTCCATGTTTGAGTGATTACGAAAAATATTGTTACGAATGTCTGTGTTGAAATTTTTGTATGAGCACATATTTTCAATTCTCTTGAGTATATATCTGAGAGTGAGTTTGGTAGATCATATAGTAACTCTTGTTTAAATTTGTAAGGAACTGCCAAACTATTTTCCAACATGACTGTACTCTTTTACATTCCCACTAGCAATGTGTGAGGGCAAGATACGAAAACTTACTCCCAAATTAAGTAAAAGTTACACACTAGTAAGTAGCAAAGCTAGGATGCTGTCCCAAATATGCCCATCTCCAAACCCCACTCTCTTTTTTTTGGGGAGAGGTTTTTGCTATAGGGTGCATGCACTTGCCAGAAAGACAGAGAGAGACAATCAACCTCTAAAATTCTTGAGAATTTCCAAAGTTCTTTCCATCATTTTGACAACTTTCTATTAACCTGCTGTCTCCTCCATGTAAATTTGCTATTAATCAATTTACTATATTGTCCTAATGAGGAAATATATTCTAAATTCTAAATAGCTACTTTATAAATTGAGAGCATTTTGCAAATTTTAGGACTTCAGTTTTTTCTCATTGCAATTTGTGTTCTTAAAGTCTTTGTCAAATGAATTTTTTGTTCTGATGTGGAAGTCAGAATAGTATTATTTCTGTCATGTTAGAAATGATAAAAGTGAGCCTTTCAAAAGTTAAATGGAACCTAAGGTGATATAACGTTTTTCTAGTCATATATACATTTGTAGACATGTAATGTGATTTCTTACCAGGAGTAAGGTGCAATTAGTTAATCTCTTAGATGGGAAGAAGGGAGATATCATGCCTCTTGAGATTTGGTGTCTTTTGGAGAAAGAAACATTTGTTGTAGGAGAAATATCTGAAACAAATGAGAATACAAAGTCTTAAAGTGAAGCCTTCTAATTATAGCTGTGTAAATTTAATTGAGAGCACAGAAATAAGTTTTAACACATTTTTGTGGTTCCTGTACTTTAACTTTAATTGGTCCCAATAAAAAGTTAGCTCCAAAATCCTTACTCAGAACTAATTTGAACTAATTTAAAATCAAGAACTTACCATTTCATAAACGAGTACTATAAATACATAGGTTTCTAAATAGGAGCAAAATGTTTTCACTTAGATAATTATAGCAGAGTATAGTTTTAGTTAAAAAGAGAAATTCATATTACATCTTTAAGTCGGTCTGTATCTACGTATAGGAGGAAGTTAGTGTCAAAGTGGTGTAAGAAATTTGTCTTTTAGCTTATCACTATCAACAGTGAAACTGGATAATAAAATTAATCATAATAAAACAACACTAAAATCTCTATGACTTTTATAATTCTTTCATTTATATGTGCTTTTATTTTTTTAATCTAGATATGGATCAGAATGTGCATAACTACCTTATACCAATAATTTTATTCTGTCATCAGCTCTTGTGCTAAATATTGTTGTCTTATGTGTGTTCTTATTTCTTTTTCATGTGATGATAAATTTCTGATAGCAGGTTGCTCACATTTATCCAACGCCTAATTCTGTTATGCTCAAATATTTCCAGCCACCTAAGTGTCTGACACATATTGATATCTGTATTTTCTGTTTTGGTTTTGTGACCCATAAGAGTTAATATCCTTGGTTTTCTCTCTCAGGAATCTTTTCTAGATCACTTTAGATTGAATTCTGTCTCAGTTGTGCTCCCATGATGCCCTGAGCATCTGTCTCTGTCACTGGACTCAATGGGCATCTTGGTTTATAACTGGTTTATAATCTCCTGCACAGGGTTGTGGGCCCTTGAGAATAGGCTCTTTTAATCTCTGATTTTTAACATCATGCTTAATATTTATTAGATAATAGATGTTGGCTGTTTTGCTTAATCAAACTGATGCCTTTCTCTGAAAACACAGAGATACGTTTGAAGGCAATCTTTTCTTATGTTAACATTTCTTGCTGCATTTTTGTGTTGCAATTTAGAGCTCAGGTTTTAAGATTCTTTCTCTGGAATGTCTGCAGCATGAAGCTTCCACCCCGTAGCTTGGAGGAGGCAAGTTAGAGAGATTTTGTACTCCAGGCTGTGCCTTCTGTTATGTTCTTGCTTTTCAGAGGCTTTCTAAAGTGTAATGGTGGGACCAGCAGTTAGCGTAATGGCTATGTCGCTGGACTCCCATGTAGTCGACTGCGGTTCGAGTCCCAGACCCAGTGGCTTAAAACTCACGCTGAGTGCATGTGCGTGCGTGCCCAATATCCTGAGAGGAGAATAGAGGAGATGGAGGAGAAGGGATTGCGGCGTGGCCATATCCCCTGGGGGATGATTTCTCGCTTTCTATCTCTCTGTCTCTCTCTGTCTGTCTGGCGATTGCACACGCCCTATAGCAAAAACCTCTCCTAAGTAAGTAAGTAAGTAAGTAAGTAAATAAATAAATAAATAAATAAATAAATAAATAAATAAATAAATAAATAAATAAAGTGTAATGGTTTCATTCCCCTGGAGCCTCCTTTATGGAGATTCTATCCTCAGATATCATCATCTGGCCACAGGGGAGAACCCCTCAGCTTGATTTACTAATGCAGCTGTTGCAGACGTCCCCTTGTTCACAGTGAAGGCAAAGTACATTAGCACTGGCGCCAAATACCCACGAGAAGTCAATATCATCTCAGAGCTCATTTCACAAAACCTTGTTGCATTTTTTGGTAACATTTAAGTATGAAGATTTAGCTGCATTTTATTTTTTACAGGAGAAGAAGAACCTGTCCTCCTAAAATTCATTACATAAAAAGCTCCCCATAGGGGCCAGCAGGTGGCGTGGTGGTTAAGGTGCTAGATTTCCACATGGCCAACTCTGTTGTTGAGTCCCAGACCTGGCTGCATAAAAATCACTCTAGGTACTTATTCCTACATGCCCAAAATCCCAAGAGGAGAA